AGCTGAAAGTGCAGGAGCTGGACCCTGCTGGGCACAAGTCGCTCTGTGTGAACGAGGTGCCCTCGTTCTACGTGCCCATGGTGGACGTGAACGATGACTTTGTGCTTTTGCCAGCATGACAGGACCGTGCCTGCGGACATTTTCACTGCAAACTGGCATGGGTGGGTGCCCACCCCTAACTCCCCTCTCCAGGATGGGTGTAGGTGTTCACACACACACATGCACACAGACACACACACACACACAGAGACACGACCGCTTGCTGATGAATCCCTAGTCAGACGAGGAGGAAGCAGAACATCTGTGGCAAAACTATAAGTGGCACTTTCTTCACGGAGCCCCAAGCGCCCCGGGCTGCAGGAGCAGTGGAAGGAGAGGCGCAGCTCCTTCCCCGCCACCCTTTGTGGCAGGAGCAGCCCACGCATGGCGGCAGATCCAGGACTGGTGGAAGGAAGAGAGACTTGACGGGTGCCAGGAGTCTGCCAGGGCACTCTCTCTCGGGGGGGTAGCTGCAGCTGCCGCCAAGACTCACAGCCATCGCAGCCTTTGGCGCATTCATGATTTCTGCCGTTTGGAGCGCTTTGATTCTTCCATTTGCCTGTGGGTGGATCATCCCTCCAAGACCCTGCAGGGCTAAACTGTGGGGGGGGGGCTTGTGGGGAGGTGGGGGTAGAAGAGACAGGCAGTCCCTTTGGTTCTTGTTACAGCCGGGCATCGGGAAGGCACCGAGCTGCACTCTGGGGGTGGTGGAGAGAATCACCCCACCGGACCGGCAACGTGGGGCACCTTTTGAGCAACCCAGCCTGGGGAGGGAGGCCCCTCCCCACAGAGACCAGAGACGTAAGTGGCGCAGAACAAGGACTGTGCAATTCTGTTTTGAAGTGGAGTAAAATCCATGTGGTTTATATATATATATATATATAAATATATATATATAAATATATATTTTCCTTTAATCTTGGGCATTTTGTTTCTCTTTCTGAGACCATAACTTGAAAAAAGAAAAAGATAAAACACTACAAGAGCCAATACTCATATAAAAAGAAATTGTATCCCTTAAAAGCTGTACAGTTTTATATACATTAACAATGTACTTTTTGCTGCCTTCTAGATAATTTATTTTGCAACACATTACTGCACAGTTGTAAATAACTTATGTACTGTAACATCACTTTCAGTCATGTGTAAAGAAATAAATTAATTAATTAAAATGATCTTTGTATGTATAGTTCCCCCAAGGCAGTACCCCTTCCTTCTCCGGCCCCATGCAGCAGACAGGCTGGCCATGGGCTCGCCCTCCCTCTCTTGCCAGCACTGAGCTGACCTGTGCCCTGGGCTTCTCTGGCTTGACATTTCGGCACAGATTGATCTTGCGAGAGCTCCGTGCTCCCCTTCGGGGCACTAGGCACGCGTGGGCAGAAAAAGACCCCTCATGGGGCACGCTAGGCTGAAAGGGGCCCTGCGGAGCTCAGGGCAGAGAGGCCGGGACAGTCAAGCCACTTGCGGTAGGGAAGGTGCCTGCAAGCCCAGCCAGGGGAGCCCCCGGGGGTTTCTGCCCCGAATTGGCCCCGGTTCCAAGTTGTGGATTGTCAAGGAGGGTTTTGTAACCAGGAAGTCCAGAGCAGAGCGTGCTTGGCTCAGCCCTCCCCTGAATGGCTCTCCGCTTGTGGACAGAGGGAGCGATGGGCCAAGAGGGTCCCTGGGACAGGCAAGGAGGGGTCCCGTTTCCCAAAGCTTTTGCCAGGAGGGCTTCTCTGGTTTTGTGGTCTAGGAAGGCTCAGTTCTGTCATTGCTTTCTTGTAACGCTTATAGGAATCTTTTGGGACTGGCTGCTTCCAGATCTGGACTGGATTGGCAGCCTTGAGTTTTGGGGAATTGCTGGCTAGCAAAGACTGAAGGACTCTCCCCACTCCCCCCCCCAAATGCAGAAGTAAATTTCTGAAGGCAAATGAGTCACTCCGTAGCTCACAGGGAGGTTTATTCCTGAACCCGCTGCCTTTTGGCAACGTACATACGAATTCAGAATGAGCGGCTGGCACAGTGGCAGTCTTGTGCTAGCAAAGAGGGTCTTCACTGTGGTCCATATGGTAAAAGTCGTGAGTTACTTGGGGAGCAGAGTCTGAGAGAGAGTGGCAAGGAGAAGCCGCCGGCCGGAGGGAGTCCTGGGCCTTCCTCCTCTTCCTGAGAGGCCCTGTTGCTTGGCCTCTCCTGTGATTGGAGGAGGCTCATATCTCGGCCGGGGGGGGGCCCTTTCCCCCCCCCCCCAAGCTTTCAGCTAGCGAAGCCCTTCTCTGAGGCAGGTTGCAAAAGACTTGCAATGGTGGGCAGTTGGCAATTTGCCATGAGAGCCAGGACACTCAGGTAACTGCTGGAGAGGGCAGAAGGTGAGCCGTTTTCCCCAGGGCCTGCTCAGCCACCAGGAGGGAGGGTCTTTCCAGCCCAGCTGCTGCATTGGTGCATCTCTGCTGGCCTCTGGAACTCCACCAAGTGCATGTGGGGGATGGGGTGGGGTAGGACCCATAACAAGCCTTTGGTTCTTAGCATCCCATGTCCGGAAAAGTTTCTTTTGGAACACAGAGGAAGTAGAGGAAAGTTGCCCCTGCCTAAAAATGGATAGGGCTTAATCGGTGGGTGCCAGCCTAGCCTTCATGGACTGGGGTTCTAGTTTCAGAGGTGGTGGTGGGGGCACCTCTGTCCTCCTCTGATCCTGGACGGAGCCAAATTCTGGTTGAAAATGTGGCTCTCCCATTTTGTTCAACCAGCAAAGTAATTTTGAGGGGGGTTGGCAGCGCTTGGCCACCTCCAGCATCTGCTGGTAGCTGATGACCTCCAGGTGCAGCTTCTGCAGGAACCTGCATGTGTGGAAGGATTTGGGTCGTCCAGAAGCCTTTTTCCTGCAGGGAACGGGTCCCATCATGAAGGGGGCTGCCTGGGACAGTTGCAAAGCTTTCCATCAATAATGGGGAAATGTGGTTTAGCTAGTTGCCTCTACTCAACCCCTATCCTGGGGTTCCACCTCTGGAGCTACAGGGATCCGGCTGTCTTTTTTTCTTCTTGATGCCGATGAAAATCCCCCCTTCACCCACCCCAGGCCCCTCCTTTAAAGCCTGAATCACGGCAGCATAGCACTGTGTGATACCATGCATTCTGTTGATTTGGACACCAGTGTAAATAGCCCCCCTTGTTCAACCGCTTCTCCCAGACAATTGTATATATATATGTAAATAACTCTCACAGGTCAATTCACACCCTTTTATTTGTACTCGTGCAACTTGCATAGAATGTGGAGTTAAAACAGCAGCAGGGTGCATTGTTTGTAATGTAATCATGTATTTTTTTATTTTTTATTTTTTACCAATGTAGTTTGTGTACATATAGTTTGTCAGTGCTGGTGCTGCCAAGGGCACCATAAAACTGCCCTTTAGCTGTACAACTTCCTGCAGAAAGAGGCAAAGCAAATACAGGTGTTATTTTCTACAGTTGCATGTACAGAAAGAAGTGCAGAGATGCTGTTGTCCCTCAAGAGATAATGTTCATAAATAAATCTTTTTTTAAAAAAAAAAGGACAGTGTGCTATGGGCTCTTTTGATTTTCACTGCTTCTCAAAATGTTTCCGAGAGGGCTCTCCTCCTCCGTCTGTGGCTTGGGATTCCCAAGCCTTTCTACAGAGAGGAAAATGAAAGAGCAAAGATATACCTCAAGTAAGATTTTGACCCAAACCTCCAAAGTTTCATGCATCTTCCATCGTAGGCCAGGCCCAGATTTTGCTGAGCAAGGCAGATGTTGGCTGTTCTCAGGCTGAAGAGAAATAGGAAGTTATGCAGGAATAAAGTTGTCCGTCTGGTAGTAATTTTTCTGATTAACACACTGGATTCAAGGCAACCCTTCAATGTATTCAGCGGAGTGAACGGAAGCCCAAGAAAGCTGTAGCTGCCTCTGTGCCTTCTCCAACTCAGTTCGGTCCACTGCTTTCCTTGGCTTTCTTCCCAACACGGCTTCAAAACTGAGGCAGCCAGGGATTTCTGTCGCTTCTCGAAATTTGATAAAATATTCACGCAAAACACCTTCAAAATTTTTCCTCTTGTTTCTATGCCGATTATTTTTCCAGATCAATCCTGGAATCTTCCAACTTCTTTTGGCCCCTTTTATTATCAGAGGGATGGATGGAGCAGAGGCTGAGATCTGAACTGCCAAAGTCACTGGATTTCTATCCTTTCCCCAAATTGTTCATCCCAAAGAGTGTATGCGTGTTTGCAAGACGCACCTGAAGCTCAGTGCTTCCGTCTCCTCTATATTTCTAAATACTGAGAGAGGTCATGTTGCAACTCATCTTTTTTCTAAACTTTTAATCCAGGAGATTGAGAAGACTGAAATGTCACACAGACCACTGTTGTGGGAAGCTGTTGTCCCTCGACTGGCAGAGTTGCATCTCCCAAGATTGTGATCTGGGGTCATGCGATCTACTTTTTATAGGGTCACACATATTTGTGCAGCCTGTTAAATTTGGTTGGTTTAAACAGCGACTTCCTTTGTGGCTTGGCGAGTTGTGCTGACACACTGCTGCTCTCCCTGGATAAGCTGTTGCACACAGAAGCCACAAAGTGCACAGATGTATTTTTTAAGAAAACAACTGGAGGGCAGGGAATTGAAATAAAAGGTTGGTATGATGTCACATGATAAAATTCTTTTCCAAAGGGAGCAATCCAACAAACCCCCCCTCCCTGGTGCTCTTGCACACGGGAAGAAAAGCAACCACTTGTTGTAAGAGTGGAAGGCAAACAGAGCAGCCCTCGGACACACGTTAAGAACAGCCTGAAGGGGGTGAAGTCAGGCAGGGAAGTTGCTCAACTGGACTGAGCAGGTTTTTCTCTGCTGGCCAGCTGCTCCCCGTCCAGGAAAGGCCCTGCCCCAACTCAGCCAACAATGAGAGGCCCCACGGAAGGCGGGGAGGCCTCTGTCAGCTGCAACTCACCGCTACACAGGCAGGCAGGCAGCCTCCCACCCCACCCCCAGCCGCTAGCAGGGCAAATCTGCCATTGAAGGAGCAGCTCCTCTCTTGGGACAACTTTGCCCAACAGCGGCTACACCGGCCGCCTTTTCCTCGCTCGGTTCTGCTCTGGGTCAGTCGGGAAAAAGCCCCCGAGCAAGAAAGCACGCAGGGAGGCTGGGGACAGCAGAAGGGGGAGATTCTGGGGTGCCGGAAAGAAAAGCGGGGAGACGGGAAAGGGGCTGTCTGGCGAAAGGCAACGCTTCTCGCTGGCCAGTTGCTGCTTCCTTGCGAGGGGCGGCCAGGCAGAAGGTCGCCTCTTCGCCTGCTTTGAGAGACGCCCAGAAAGCGGCCGCTCCGCTCCGAGGCGAAAGGGGAGGGGAAGCAGGCGGGGCCCCCCTGGAGCGGCCGGCCGGGGTGTGGCTGCCCCAGAGGCACCTCGGGGCTCAAGTGGGGGGGGGAGCGAGATTGCCTCTGAGCAACTGCAGAGCGCCCTCGCAGCACCGCTGGCTTCACGGGGCTCCCCTTGGCCCCGGGGGAAGGCAGCCCCCGTCCGCCCGTCCCATCGCTCACCGCGGCTCAGCTCCCGCCGACCCCGCCCCGCCCCGGTCGGAGAAAGGCCGCCGCCGCCGGTCCGCCCGTGCCTGGTGCCAGGGAAGCGCATGGACTTCGAGGGGCAGGTGCTGCGCCAGGTGGGCGGCTTCGGGCGGCGGGCGCGCTTCCTGGCCGCCGCCTCGTGGCTGCCCAACGTGGCCCTGGCGCTGGGACTGGCCGCGGGGCTGCTCCTGGCCGCCGTCCCGCCGCACCGCTGCCGCCCGGACCCCGCGCTGCTCCCCGCCGCCCTGCGCAACGCCACCGGCCCGGAGCTGCTCAACGCCTCGGCGCCGCAGGGCAGCCGCTGCCTGCTCTACCGCTACCCGCTGCCCGGAGGCGCCCCCGGGCCGCCCAACGGCACCGGGCCCTGCACCCGCGGCTGGCAGTACGCGCTGCCCGCGGCCGGGCTCCGCTCCACGCTGGTCACGCAGGTGAGTCCGACGGCTCCCTTCGCCGGGCGCGACCCCCGGGAAGGGGCGGGGGAAGCCCCGGCTGGGCCGCGGCTTCTCTGCTCACGGCCGCTTCTCCCGCAGTGGGACCTGGTGTGCGCCAGGCATTGGCAGGTGCCGCTGGAACAAACCACTCACCTCTTGGGATGGCTGGTCGGGTACGTGGCCCTCGGGGCGGCCTGCGACAGGTAAGGCGGCCTCTGGGCCCTGTGATCTTCTGGCGGCCCCACTTGGCCCTCCGCTGTTATTGGGAAGCCAAAGGCCGCTTTGGTGCAGCGTCGGCTTCTGCGGGCCTCGGGGTGGCAGAGGCGGCGGCTGGCACCTGCACGGGCGGGGCATAAGATGATTCAGGCCCAGGGCTGATTAAGAGCAAAGGATTTCCAGCTGCTCTTAGCCAGCCCTCCTGGGGTGAGAGCCGCTTGAGGGAAGGGGAAGCTCACTCGGTGCTCCTGCTGAAATTCTGGCCTGCAGTTGGGACCCTGGACCTCTGAGGCCCACGATGGGTCAGGGGAGGGGGCTGCCCACAGGCCTGAATGCAGACCACCCCCTGCGGCAAGTCTTGGAAGTGGCTTTCAGAAGGCGCAGAGCAGCTTGCCTTTCGTGTGAATGCTGTCCCAGGCAAGAAAAAGGGTTTGCGCAAAGAATGTTCAACTGGATCAGATGCCCTTCCGCGGGATGACTTTGGGCGAGCTGCAGCGTGGCTGTAAAACGGACTTTGTGAAACCTGGCATTTTTCTGGGCTCCCTGGACCAGAAGGAGTGGGAGTTTGGCCTTCAGTAACCACTGTGCAGTGGTTTGTGTTGCTGTTTCAAACAGAGGCCAAAACAGCCCTGAATTTTGCTCCCCTGCGACCTGGGATGGGAGCTGTCTCAGTGCCATCTCTTCTCCCCTCCTTTTCCTCCTCCTCCCATCCTCCCTGCTCTCTTCTTCTCCAGGTTTGGCCGTCGGATCATCTTCACCCTCTCCTTGGTGCTGTCTGTCCCATTGGGCTTCGGCGTGGCCCTGGCAGTGGATTACTTTATGCTGGTTGTGATGCGGATGCTCTTTGGGGCCGTGCTGGCAGGGGTCTTCCTCTCCCTCTACGTGGCCCGTGAGTCGTTTCCTGCCCACTGGCTGGGCTGCCCTCCAGGACAGGCGGGAAGCAGGAGAGGCCCCACCAGGTCCTCCTTGCTTCCACAATAGCCCTGGCTTTTCTCTTTCTTTCTTTCTTTCTTTCTTTCTTTCTTTCTTTCTTTCTTTCTTTCTTTCTTTCTTTCTTTCTTTTCATTTGATTTTTATACCGCCCTTCTCCAACAGGACTCAGGGTGGTGAACAACTGAGATAAAACATAGCATATAAAATTTAAAAACACTTTAGGGATCAAACCAGCCCGGCTAGATGAAATAAATGAGTTTTCAGGGCCCGACGAAAAGTCCGGAGGTCTGGTATTGTGAGTATCTCTGGGGGTAGATCTTTCCAGAGGGCAGGTGCCACCACAGAGAAGGCTCTCCCCCTGGGGGTCGCCAGCCAACATTGTCTGGCGGACGGCACCCTGAGGAGGCCCTCTCTGTGCAAGCGTACTGGCCGGTGGGAGGCTATTGGCGGCAGAAGGCGGTCTCGTAGATACCCTGGCCCTAAGCCATGGAGCGCTTTAAAGGTGGTCACCAACACCTTGAAGCGCACCCGGAAGACCACCGGGAGCCAGTGCAGCTTGCGCAGGAGAGGTGTCACATGGGAGCGCCCTGTTGCTCCCATAATCCCTGCGTGGCCGCATTCTGGACCAGCTGGAGCCTCCGGGTGCACCCCAAGGGGAGCCCCATGTAGAGAGCATTGCAGTAATCCAGGCGGGAAGTGATGAGTGCCTGAGTGACCGTGCGTAGGGAGTCCCGATCCAGAAAGGGATGCAACTGGCATATCAGGCGAACCTGATAAAAAGCCCCCCTGGCCACAGCCGTCCTATGCTCTTCTAAAGACAGCCGTGCATCCAGGAGGACGCTCAAGTTGCGAGCCCTCTCCGTGGGGGCCAATGATTCGCCCCCGATAACCAGCAATGGCACCAGCTGGCTATATCGGGACGCTAGAAGCCACAGCCACTCGGTCTTGGAAGGGTTGAGTTGGAGCCTGTTTCTCCCCATCCAGGCCCGCACGGCCTCCAGGCACCGGGACATCACTTCAAGGGCATCGTTGCGGTGGCCTGGGGTGGAGATGTACAGCTGGGTGTCAGCAGTGCACTGATGGAACTCCACCCCAAAGCCATGGATGATCTCACCCAGCAGCTTTACATAAATGTTGAACAGAAGAGGCGAGAGGACCGACCCTTGCGGCACCCCACAAACAAGGCGCCTCGGGGTTGACCGCTGCCCCCCTGCCAACACAGATTGCGACCGGTCAGAGAGGTAGGAGGAGAACCACCGCAAAACGGTGCCCCCCACCCCCAACCCCTCCAACCGGCGCAACATGATACCATGGTCGATGGTATCAAAAGCCACTGAGATCTAACAGGACCAGGATAGAGGAGCAACCCCTATCGCGAGCCCTTCAGAGATCATCCACCAATGCAACCAATGCCGTTTCCGTGCTGTGCCCAGGCCGGAAGCCGGACTGGAGCAGATCTAGATAGACAGCTTCATCCAGGTACTGTGGAAGCTGCCACGCCACCACACTCTCAACAACCTTCGCAATAAAACGAAGGTTGGAGACTGGACGATAGCCAAAACAGCCGGATCCAGAGAGGGCTTCTTGAGGAGGGGCCTCACCACCGCTTCTTTCAAGGCGGCCGGCAGGATACCCTCGCTCAGAGAAGCGTTAACAATCCTCTGGAGCCAGCCTCGTGTAACCTCCCAGGAAGCCAGGACCAACCAGGAGGGACATGGGTCCAATAAACATGTGGTCGCGTTCAGCTGTCCCAGAATCCTGTCCACGTCCTCAGGAGCCACAGGATCAAACTCCTCCCAGATAACACTCTCAAGACCTGCCTCAATCATCCCGTCCGGACTTACCCAGTCAAGAGGCCAGGCCTTCCCAAATCTGAGCGATTTTATCATACAGATACTGCACAAAATCCTCAGCTCGACCCTGCAAGGGATCATCCCGCGCTCCCAGATGGAGGAGGGAGCAGGTCACCCTAAACAGGGCGGCTGGGCGATTATCTGATGACGCAATAAGAGCGGCAAAATAGCTTTAGGCCCATCTGCCCAGGCCGAAGGCACCTTTGCCCTGAATGGGATCTCCGGCCTTGGAACAAGGGGGCTTCAGCCAAGTACTCCAAGGGGACAGTCCCTGGTTTGGGGCTTCCCTGGTCAGGAGCTGCTGTTCTGAAATGCAGCTTCCTGGTGAACTGAGTGGCTTCCATGGAGGTTGGCGGATGCCCCGCTTCTCCTGGGCAGGTTTAGGAAGCAGACGTTCCTCTGGCGTTGCTGAACGACTTCATGGCCTCCATCCCTGTTGGCTGCTGAAGCCGGAAGCTCCGATGCCCCCAGAGAGACTCGATGCATTTCGTCTTGGCCAGAACAGAGCCCAAGTGCTCTGGGCTCTTCTCCGCCTTCCCCGTTCATGCTCTCCCTCTGCCTCTCCTTAGGCCTGGAGTTGTGTGACCCTCCACACCGCCTGATGGTCACAATGAGCGCCAACTTCTTCTGGATTGCTGGGCAGCTCCTGCTGCCGGGACTGGCCGTGGCTGTGGCGGAGTGGCGGCTGCTCCAGGGCACCATCACACTGGGACTGACCCTGCTGGCTGCTTGCTGGTGGTGAGTGTGCTTCTAGCTCTGGACACCGAGAGGGTCTGTCTCCCCCATTGGGGGCATTAAGTCCTTCCTTGCTGCCTCGCCTCCTTTAGGGGCACACCAAACACTGCACCACCCAGTCCCGCTTTCTCCCTTCCCAGGTCTCCTTCTCTCTTCCCTGAGTCAGCCCGCTGGCTCTTGGCCACGCAGCAGCTGCAGAGAGGCAAGCGGGCCCTGCTGGACCTGGCCAGGGGCAATGGAGTCAGCCTGGAAAATGGCTCCCCAACTGAGGAGCCCCTCTTGGCAGGTGGGTCTCCTGCTGGGCCTCTCAGGCCCCTTCCAGATTTCAGACAACCTGGATTCACAAACTGGGAGCCCCTGAGCAGTGTCCATCAGAGATGGGGGTGGGAAAGCTCCCCTTGGTGCCCCAGAACCCCTCTCGATTCCGCCTCTGGCCTCAACTGACCAGCCAGCCAGTTGGGCCTGAGATCCAGCTCTCCTTGTGTCCAGAGATGGACAGCCGGCTGGGAGGCATCCCCAGAGCAGAGTATCACAGCGTCTGCCAGATCTTCAGCACGAGGGTGGTGTGGAAGAACAGCCTCATTCTCGGCTTCACTGCGTAAGTCTTCCTAGGAGGGGGCAGACCCTCCTCTTCCTCACGAGCTGCACCGGGGACCCCGTGTAACGCCTCCCTCCCTGCTGGCCCTCGGACATCCTGCGGACGTAACCTCCTTCCCCACCAGGTTCATTGGGAGCGGCATCCGCCACTGTTTCGCTCGCAACTTGGCTCCGTATGCGCCTCGCTTTTACTTCCCCTACTTCCTGCTGGCGGGGAGCGAAGCGGTGGCCGTCCTCTTCCTCTGCCTGACGGTGGATCACTTTGGCCGCCGGGCGGTCCTTCTCTTTGGCACCATCCTCACCGGGGTTTCCTCCCTGCTCCTCCTGGCCCTGATGCAGTGTAAGGAGACGCGGCTGCCGGGTGGGTTGGGGGCCAGTAGTCCCAGTTCCCAGGAGGGGAACTGATCCTGTGCGAGGGTCCCGCTTCTTGTTACTGGGCCCCTGCGAGGGGCTTCCCTCTTCCCAGGACTGGCCTTGTCCAGATTGAATCTTACAGATGCAACTTGGCTGGCTGGCTTGAGTCACCTGCTGAGGTTTGTGTGGCAGGAGATTTTCCTCCTAAGGGCAAAGGAGGCTCAGCAGAAGGAGGCTTAGCCAGCCTCTCAACCAACCCTCTTCCCTTCCCTAGATCTGATGGCATGGCTTGTCTTGGCACTCTCCATCCTGGGCATTCTGGCATCTCAAGCTGTTGCTACCCTCAGCATCTTCTTTGCCAGCGAGGTGCTGCCCACCGTGGTCAGGTGAGGAGGCCTCAGGTGTCCCTGTATTGGCAGATGGGCAGGCTGGAGCCTGGTGCTCAGCTTCGAATGAGGTGGGACCCTTGCCAGAGGCCACCTGGGCCGATTCCTGGTTGGCTCTCCCAGGGAGCTTTGGCCCCGGGCTGCCTTCACTCAGGTGATCCGTGCTGGTTCAGGGCTCCAGGTGGAAAGGCGGGGGCCCTGCCCAGGGGCCCTGAGGGGCTTACTGAGCTGGAGCTAGGAGGGCAGGGGCCTTGCTGCTGCCCAATGGGGCTGTTTTGCTTTGCAGGGGGGCCGGGCTGGGCCTCATCCTGGCTGCGCACACGCTGGGCCAGGCAGCCACCCCCCTGATGGACATCCAGCCCAGCCGGGGGTTCTTCCTGCACCACGTAGTCTTTGCCTCCTTTGCCGTCCTCTCGGTGCTCAGCGTCATGCTCCTCCCGGAGACCAGCCACCGGCCCCTGCCGGACTCTGTGCAGGAGGGAGAGAGCCTGCACCGGCCTCCGCTCTTCCACCCCAGCCGCCGTCACTGCCGCCGCCAAGACCAGCTACCGCTGCTCTCCACCCACACGGGGGCCAGCCCCTACGACCCCGAGAGCTACGCCCACCTGGTCACAGCCACCAAGAAGATGCTGGGCAGCCGCGTGGGGCCCGCTTGCGCTGGGAGGCAAGGCAGCCCACTGTGCCCAGAGACCTAAGACCACGGCAGCGCCCAGAGGAGAGTAGCGCTGCTGGGGCTGGACTGCCAGGGGCCCCGGGCCCCACAGAGGGAACGTTTTGGGCCCTGGAGTGATCTGGTGACCGGTCATGGGGGCAGGAAGAACTGGGTGGCCTCTGGCCCTCTTTTCTTGAGGAAAGACTGACCTAGGGCCACAGCCCCCCCCTTTCTTTGTGGACATGCAATAAACCCCATGCTGCGTTTATGGTTCATTTTTCTTGGGGAGTTTTATTGTCAGACACAGCAAGTGCTGCCCCCCCCTTCAAATCCTGCCCTGCTGCCCTGCCGAGACCCCCAAGCGTCTTGTTCTTCTGGCTGCAGCCACCTTTGCAGCCTTGGGGCCTGGGGGGAACACAGCCAGGTTTGCCCATAGCCCACCGGAAGCTGCTTTTCAGGGCAGGCCCCTGATCGCTTCTATCGGGGGGGGGGAGGCTGTTGCTGGGCAGGGAGGGGGGCACCACCGCTTGCCTCCTGCAAGGTTGCCAGTCCTTGCTTCTCCCCATGGGCTCTTCAGTTCCCTGGCAGGCTGAGGGTTTCTCACCCGGCCGGCCACCCTTCCTTTAGGCCTAGTAACTCTCGTGACCCCTGGATGGGAATGTTGGGGTCCTGGCTGGGGAAACAAGGGGTTGCGCAGGGGGTCCTGTGGTCCTTAGGACTGTCTGCCAGCAGCATCTCAAGTCGGCGGCCAGGGAAAGCACCTGGGGGGCTCTGCCTGCCTCCGGCTTCAGGGCACACAGGCTGGTGCAGCTGCAGTTGGCAAGACAGGGAGCCCTGCCCCTCGGGTGCAGCGAGAAGCAGCCGGGCACGTGCCCCACCTGCCAGCCGGGAGGGCGATGGGGCAGGCTAAGCCAGGTTGGTCAGTTGTCCAGTCCGGCCCTGCTGCTCCTCCTGCCCCCTACTGGCCATACAGCTCGGCCAGGCGCTGGAATCGTGGTCCCCATTCGTGGAGGTAGTCGTAGTCCTGGTCTTCGTCTCCCAGGCTGGACAGGATGGAGCTGAGGGACCCGCTGGCCGAACAGGCCCCCTCGTAGTCGTAGATGAGAGCCGTGTCGTAGGGGGGGACGCTGGGGTCACTGTCGGCTGCCTCCAGGCCCTGCGCAGGAGACGAGCAGGAATGAGCACCGGGTTCCAGAGAAGAGAGACTCCTAGGGCTGGAAAGTACCCGAGAGGTCTTCTAGTCCAGCCCCTTGCTCAAGGCAGGAGCCCTCATGCCGTCCCCATCAAATTAATGATCCACAGCCTATTTCTGAAAACCTCCAGGGACGAAGCACCACGACTCAGTCAGCTGAGCCAGTCACAAGGCAGATTTAGGAAAGGCCGGGCGGGGGTCCCCTTTGCCCTCCTCCCACCCTCCCAGCCAGCCTCCTCGCCGCTTTCCACCTCATTGATGAAGTCCTCGATGTCGGAAGGACATCGCTGTAGGTGCTGGGGCAAGGCGTAGCTGTGGGGGGCATCCCTCCTCCGAAGGGGCTTCCCCCGGGGGGTCGGGGGGCGAAAGAGATCAGGGTCACGCAGCTGGGAGAGATCGTAGGCGTCCTGCGGGCAGAGAAGGGGGGCATGGCCATCCTGACCCCATAGCTTAAGAGGTGGGGAAAGGAACCGGCCCCATGGCAGCCCCACTGGTCTCACCTGGTCCTCTTCGCCGCCCCCCTGCTCGTCATAGTTGACAATGTTGTCACGCAGGTCGTCCTGCCAGGCGCCCAGCAGTCCCTTGCGCAGAGCCTGCCGGCGGGAGTGCTCCAGTCCGGCCACCAGCAGCACCAGCACTGCCCAGAGAAGGCGGGTCAGAGGCCCCTGTGCCCCCCGCCCTCCCAGCGCTCAGGGCAGCCAGCCACACCTGCCCCCTGGGCTGCCAGCTCTTCCTGTGGGCAGACTTCCTCTCAAGGCCGCCCTGCCTTGCCCTGCCCATGCCAAGGCAGCCTGGGGAATTGCAGCTGGCCAATGTAGCTCCCACCCCAAATAACATGAACCCACTTTCTCTCTCTCTCTCTCTCTCTCTCTCTCACACACACACACACACACACACACACACACACTGCTGCAGGAAAATGGGGAGGGGGCCTGGGGCACACAGGAGGTTATCTTGGTGCCAGGGTCTTCCTCTGCAACAGGGAGGCAGAAACACCCCTTCTCCTCCCCACTCCACCCCCCAAGGCCCAGAAATAGGACATGCATCCATTGGATTTACACATCCACCAACCTCCCAGAACTGACCGCCCCCTCCCTGAACGTGGGGCAGAGGTCCAGCTCTTCCCACTTCCTTTCTGGACCACTGGGGGCTGCAGACTCCCCTCCGGTCCCAATTCATCCTTCAGGCACTTACGCAGGAGTAGGACGGCACTGCACAGGATGGCCAGCAAGGCGCCCAAACTGAGGCCTGCCCTGGCCCCCAGGGTGGCAGCTGCCTGAGCCCCACAGGTGCCCCACTGGCTGCAGGCACAGACAGAGACATTCAGCAGCTGCTCTCGCGCCCGTGGTGGGATCCCAGAGTCTCTGACGAGCAGTAGCAGGACATGGAGACCCTCGGCCACGTCCGTGGGAGGCTGCAGCAGCACGTGGGTCTCTGGAGTGGGTGAGGGGAACAGGGAGGGGGATTCAAATGATTGGTAATGGGGAACTGGTCTTTTCTGGTGCTCAAAAAAAGAAAAAAATGCCCATCGCAAAAGAGCTCAAGGGGTCGCTTTTCAGCTGGTTTCAGAGTTTCTATCCTTGGCTTCCCCCAGTTTGGTGTCCGGCAAAGCCGAGGCTGCCAGGAATACACACACACACACAAGTGCCTGGCAGGAGAGGACAACTCCTCCCCCACTGACAGTTGCAAAGTGATGTGCTCTGTGGGGAGGGGCTCTACCAGGAAATCCGGTCCAGGCTCCCCCCAAGGCCTGGATTGAGCTCCCCCCATCACATGTGGGCCCCCAGGAAACCCGATTACCGTTGGGGTGGCTGAGAGTCCAGTTGTGGGCACTGCTGAGGCCAAAACGGAAGTGGAAGGGCCCTGCGTGGGGCGCCAAGTCCTGGTCAGTGGCGCTCAGGACTAAGGCGCCCCCTTCTCTGCACAGCGACCCCGTTGTGGGGAAGAGGGAGGGCGCATGGTCGTTGACCTCCAGCACCTCGACAGAGAGGGTCCCCGTGGCTGTGCGGGGAGGGATCCCTGAGAGAGAGAGAGAGAGGCAGATGTGGGTCCAGCTGACCTTGGGGGCCTCTCCAGGCAGAAGCAACTTCCCCGCAGAGGGAGGGACCGGGCACCAAAGGGTGGGCTTCTCTTTCGCCAATGGCTGCCCAAAGGTGACCCCAGTCCTGGCCTGGCTAAGGGCCCTCCCTGAGTCCAAGGCAGCCTCCGCTGCTCCTTCTGAAATCAGTCAGCAGGATTTTGGGCCAGGGCCCTCGCTTGCCCTCTCCTGCTCCTGCCCTGCTCACCCCCTCACCGTTATCAACAGCCAGGATCTGTGTGGTGTACCAGCCGCCCAGGAAGGTTGACCGGGAGGGTACTTTCTGGTGGACTTCCACCCGGCCAGATTCGGGGTCCACCTGCAGCCAACTAGCCAACTCAGAGGCCTGCAGGTACCTGGGGGGGAGGAGACGGGTTCAGGGATGCATGCATGCACCCCACCCCCCACCCCCCGTGCAGGGCTGGCTTCTCAAAGAGCAAAGGACAGAGAGGCCCCTCCGCAAATGGCCAGATCCTCCAGAAGGTTCCTCTGAGATCCCAGCTGCCTCTGGAACACGAGTGGGCTGCAGGGCTGATTCAGAGGCAAGGAAACGCAACCCAGGAGGGACTCCCAGAAATCATCCCGCAGATCTTTGCAGGGTTTGCTTTTAGGGATGGAGTTAATGAGGACTAGAGACGTCATTCTTACAGCAAGAAGGAAATGGGGCTTGGATTTGCTGGATTTTGCCCTGCATTCCAAACCCCGGGCTGGCCAAGCACCTGAACCTGTGCAGAATCTCCACCAGCCAGCTTGGATTTTGCTCACCTGAGTTGCTGAGCTTGTTGGGTGTCTGGGTCCCTGGCACGGAGGAGGGTGATCTCGGTGCCACCAGCTGCCCCTTCGTTCACCCTCCCCCTGCAGGGGTTGTCCAGGAAGAAGGGGGGCTCGTTGGCATCCATCACCTGGAGCTGCACCGTGGCCAAGGCCTGGGCAGCTTCGGGGGCGGAGGGGTGCAGGGGGCTTTGGTTCTGCACAGAGACCAGCAGCTCATAGCGGTTCTGCTCCTCGTAGTCCAGGGCCTGGCAAGTGGGAGAGAGATGGGGAGACATGGGAGGGGGCATGTGCTCTGCCTCCCCTCCTCTTCTGGTGCAGAAGACCCCAGCTCGCCTCTCCTGGCTCCATCTCTCCTGCCCTCTGCTGCAGAAAAGGTCTCGGCGCTTGGCCAGAGGGGCTCTCCTGGCCGTCCCCTTTTCCCCTGGAAGGCCCAACCTGCTGTCGTTCAGCTTTGGCCACCGGCCCTCCACACGTGGGAGCAGATGCTCAGCTAAAGTTGCAGGATGAATCCCTCCTGGGCCAGCCCAGACTGCCCCCCCCCCACATTGCCCCTGCTCCGGAGCAGAGCCTGGCCCTTCCTTACCTTGACCAAAGAGATGACCCCCTCATTGGTCAGGGGGTCAGGGTGGATGGAGAAAGCTCCTCGAGGATCCCCCTCCAGGATGGTGAACTTGGCCAGCCAGTTGGGGGAGCCTGGCTGGTCTTTGTCCTGCACTGTCACCCGTCCAACCTCCAGGCCCTGTCGGTTCTCAGGGGCCTCCAGGCGAAACTGCGAGAGAAGGGGGGCAGCATGAAAAGTGGGGCTGAGCAAATGGCTGAGGAGGCCCCCCTTCATCCTGCTCCTCCCCGGGGAAAAAGAAGAGGGGTGGCTGAGGGCGATGGGGCAGTTAAAGGGGACTGGAGGGGGGGGGACGCTGGATCTTTTCAGCCCCGGATTCTAACAGCTACGGGAAAGGAGCTCGCCCACCCGCCCGCTCCAGGCCTGGGGGTTTTCAGGTGGGGCAACGGCTGCCATGTGGCCCATAGAAAGGCAGGTTTGAGTTGAACTTCTCAACCAAGCAGGAATTCTGCAGACAATTGCAGGGCAGGCCTCACCTCTAGTAGCAGGGTAAGATCAGCCCTGGTTCACATGTACGCCTGGGCCAGTCCAAGGTCGCCCCCTCCCCTTCATCCCATGATGCTGGGGGGGGGGGGGGCTCAGGGACCTGGCCTTGCCTTGTAGGCTCTTGG